TCGAACTCACAGAGATCCACCTGCCTCTGGCTCCCGAGTGCCGGGATTAAAGGTGTGCACCACTATAGCCAGCCTCTACTGCATTTTTGTGAAGATGCCATCCCTACCTAGGCAAAAGCCAAGTTCTCCAAGGAGCAGGAACAATAGATGCGGAGGCACAACCCTTCTCTGTCTGGGAAAGGGGCTTGTATTTGCCCAGGGTAACCTTTTGCTTCTCCCAGGCTGGAGCCTGGCTATGTTTACTCCGTGGAACAAGGGGGTTAGCCGCACAGACAGCAAGTTGGGAAGCTGTCCTCTGTTCATATGAAGCCTAGTCCTTTTGACCTCGGGGGAGTTTGGAAATCATAACAAGGGTGCCATATGTGAATGAAGACCATACACCCGTAGGAGACGCGGACCCATGGAGCCATCTCCTCCTGTCCCAGTTGAAAGGAACTCGTCCCTGCCATTCCTTCACACAACCTGCAGGGGGCGAGCTGTTACAGAGCAAAGCTGCTTGGGAACTTACTGGGCAAAGGTTAAAATCCATCTTCTTTAACTTCTGGCGCTGTGACCTGGGATGTGTTCCTTAGCTTCAGAGTCCACAAGACCAGCGACCATCCTGCTGAATTCTTGAGTCCTGATGCACAACAGCTGTACCAAGTCAGGCACGGGGCCTATTTCAGGACCTCCCTAGGGGCGCTCTTTCCTTCTCCAGCCTTTTCTCAATTACTGGATCCGATCATGCCCCCCAAAGTTGTGGGGTAGACCTGGGGGGCCGTTCTCATCAGCAGTGGGTTCACTCTTCATTATTTCTGATGGGATCCGGGGTCTGCGGATTCCATTCAGACACACCCTTCCCAGGATTCTCCATTCAAACACAACTGCGGGTCGGGGTTGGGGGTGGTGTTGGATTGAAACTCTCTCTGCTCCGTGGTCTCTTGGGATTCTAGACCCTTCCTGCGGAAGGTCAGACAGCCTAGGTGGGCAACCCCAGGCCCACCCCTCCCCCGTTTGGCTTCTGTTAAGGCTGTGGTACAATCTGTTACTTAACTGTGGAGGACTTTGGAGTATGTTAATAGCAATTTGTGATAGATGCCTTTGGCACCCACACATTCAAGAACACCCACAGGAAAAAAAAGAAAGAAAAAGAGAAAAAGAAGGTGGGGGAGGGGAGCTACTTTAATGGGAGATAACATAGCCCTGTGCAATTTGGCTATTCATTGTATCTCTGGCACTTTATGTACTACATTAGCGGAGGCAATTTCATGCATATGGATATAATGCATTAAGTGGAGGCATTTAAATATAGTGAAACTAATTTTATGATGATTAGTTGAAGGAAAACATTGCATTCGTATCATCTATATAGAAGCCAATTTGCATGAAAATGCCCAAAGTTGCTATGCCAACATTTTCTGTGCCGCTGGTCGGGGTCGTCTCCCAGTCAAGACTTTGTATTAAAAATCGGTCTCCGGTGCCCATGTCTTTTAATTCATTGCAAGCTGTAGGCCATTTGCTCACAGAGCGCTCGCAGTAAAACAAATGAATAGCTAAAATACTCATTTGCATGATTCCCATTTGAAAACGATTCCCCTGAAATTAAAAAAGCGTGTTACTCGGTTGTGAAGATGGATGGGCCGGCGAGGCGGGCAATTAATATTTCCGGCGTTCTCTTTAAAGCCCTCCCAAGACTGAGAACAGCACATGCCAGACAAATTGGGCCCCACAACAGTTTTGGGGCCTCAGCGGCGGCAGCTTGCCCGCACTGTCTCTCCTTTATGGTCCCACTTACATTATGCAGTAATTAAAACTATTTACCATTCGTACTTATCCGCCATCTGCCACTAGAAGGTTCCTCTTTTTTAGAAAGCCTTCCTTTTTTTTTTTTTAATTTAAACATATATATGTTGTTAGATTTATACAATATATTTTGATCGTGTTTCAACTCTTCCCAGATTCTCCCCACATCCCTACCCAACCAAGTTCACGGGCTTTCTGTCTCTCTTTCAAAGCAAAAGGAAACACCCCCAGACAAACAAATAAGAGCTGTATGAAGAAGAAAGACTTGCCATCACCTGCCAAAGGGGGCTCTGGGGTCCTGTCCCCAGGCCCGACCTGTCTCCTTGCTGCCCCTGGGAAGGAGAGGTGGGGATGGGCGTGGTGCGCAAAGCAGAATCCCTGAGAGTTTGTTCGCATTAGAGCACAGCTTCCTTCATCTTGGGGGCGGGCCGTCTTGCCTTAGCTCTGGCTGTGAGCTGTGTGTTTAGGGGAAGTCTAGGCCTGGATCTTCTCACAAAAGAACTAGAATGTGACCAGGAGCTTTGACCACGTGGCCAAAGCACTAACTACAGTTGTGTAAGTTGTTGACTGTGTGTGTGTAATAAGCATGGTTAGTCCAGGGATCCATGAGGCTCAGGCCTGGTCTTGCTGTGATCCATTCAGCATGCTGAGGGCCTGTGGTCTGGGTTCTCCCCAAGAGGGCATCACCTTCTAACTTCCACAGAGGCACACTATGATCTGGCAGGAGGCCTTGGGTGAGGGAAGCCGTTTTGAAAACTGCTAAGTTAGGTAGGGCTTTTTTTCTCTATGGAGGTTAAAGGCTCCAGACGGGTTCTTCTGAGGGTCCAGCCCTAAGGTGCCTAGGGCTCTGCATCAGACTGTCCTCCACGGATATTTCTACCACCTCCTGGCCCATCCCCGAAAGCCAGTCCCCATGAGGCACTCACTCAGGGGAACAAAGGTGTGGCCAGAGGGTGCAGATACCACAAGCTGCAGCCTCCAGGAGGATTGGGCGTCTATCCAAAACGCTTTCTGAGCCAGGCATGGTGGTGTACACTGGCAATTCCAGCACTCAGAAGCCCGAGGCAGGAGGATTGGGATTTTGAGGACAGCTTCAGTTACGTAGTAAGTTTGAGACCAGCCTGGGCTATATGAAACTCCCTTTCTCTCTCTCTCTCTCTCTCTCTCTCTCTCTCTCTCTCTCTCTCTCTCTCTCCTTCTCTTTCTCAAACAGACAGACTGACAGACAAACACCAGGCCTTACACAAAAATCAGAACAAAAGAATACTGCTCCTCAGAGGGGGCCCAACACTAGCCCACAGAAGATGGCTCCAACTATTGTTAAATCTTTGGGGAAGCTCTCAAGGGATTCCACCTCCAGCCATGGAATCCTTCTGAGCTTCTCCAGTAGATTCTCAATAGCTGTCTCCCAAGTGACGGGGCTGTTCCCAGCACATAGCCACGAGGTTTGGATTTGCCCAGGAATGCACCCTCTGCTGGAATGCTCCAAGCTCCATTCCTCACAGAGGTCTCAGGGCAATACTCACCATCCTCTGCGGGCCTGGGTCAAGGCCACCCCCTCTGCCTCCTTTCCTTCATCTCTGTTTCTCCCATCCCTAGGTGAGGGGAGAGGCCATTTCCCCTGCTCAGCTGAGCCATAGGAGCTGGAGATGGTGCCTGGTCCACACATCAGGCCCTCTGAAATCAGGCTGCCCTGGGACCTTGGGGCCTTTACCAGATCAGATAGGATGGGTGGCCACAGGTAATGAAGCGACAGTGCTCTTCTGAAGAGACTGGCTTGGGTCCCCGTAAAGAGGGGTGAGTCACCACAAGGGCCTTATTCTACTTGGCCTTGGCTGTCAAGGTGAATTACATGTTGTCATTACTTAAGATGTTATAGTTGATAGGCAAGGCAGCATAAACCTGTAAAATCCCAACACTCCAGAAGTGGAAGTAGGAGGATTATGAGTTCAAGGCCAGTCTAGACTTTATAGTAAAAACTTATTTTTTTTTTTTTAAAAAAAAGGCTGACAAGATGGTTCAGCAGGTAAAGGTGCTTGCTGCCAAGCCTGAAGATCTGAGTTCAATCCCTGGAACTTGCATCATAGAAGAAGAGGACCGACTATCTCAGGTTGTCCTCTGATCTCTACACGTGCACTGCACACATGCACGTCCAAACACACAGAAACACAAGACAATCGGGAGTATAATTTTTTAAACAGTGTGATGGCGTTTGGGAGCCATACATCCCCACTGACACAGAGTTCCCTTCCAGGCACCAAGAGGTCCCTTGCTGGCCAGGTCAACCAGAAGCTCCTCCTCCTCTACAGGACAGTGTGGATCACAGACTTAGAACAGACACGAGCCACTTGCGGGAAGGCTAGCAACGGGTGAGCGAGTCGGGAAAGGCCAGCAAATGACGTCACATCAACAGTGTCCTTTCTGCACAGACCCGGGGCACCAGAGGTGGCCAGTGTGCTGCAAGTCCCCTGACCTGAGAGGCGGCAGCCCTGGGTGAGAATCTCCTAAATCAGTTCTTGTCATGAGGCTGGCAGCTAGTGAGGACGCCGGGACACGGGATTCCTGTGCCCTTGTGTCTCCCCAGAGCAGGTGTGCTCAGTCCTGGAGCAGATGGAAGCCATCTGCACAAAAAAAGAGCTCCCCAGGTTCAAGGTGACAGATTCTCTCTGACTGTCTTCCAGCACAGCTCTGCATTTTGGAGTTAGATATTGAGAATCTGGATGCTGCTTTGCAGAGGAAGGGAACTGTCATACTCACCATAGTTGACACTGTGAAGCTATGCCTCTGCCCCAGGAAGTGCTATGATCCACTCTAACTCATCTTATGGTCTTCCACAATCTGAAGGTCTTAGAAGATCAGGCTTGAGCTGGGGATATGGCTCACTTGGTAGAGTACTTGCCTAGCATGCATGACACCCTGGGTTTGATCCCCAGTACTACATAAAACGGGCACGGGAATACACACCTGTAATCTCCACTTTTGGAGGTAGAGGCAGGAGGATCAGAAGTTCAAGGTCATCCTCAGCTACAAATTAACTTGTCTGCTTTAGACCCTGCCGCAAAACAAACAGACCAGGGTTGAGCTCATCTGGACCCAGTGCTCTTTCTGCCTCCCTGTGGCCTCAGGCAAGTCACATGTCCTCTCTGAGCCTCCAGTCTCCTGATTTCTCCCCGACACCTGCTGCAGCTCCCCCAACCCACAGTGCCTTTTGATCGATCACGCGGCTCAGCCTGCACCTCCTGGCAAATCATCACGACAGCCTGCTGCAGCTTTGTTATCGAGACAAGAACCAGAGGAGTCAATGTTCCTGGTTACTGAAGAAGACACTGGTAAAAGGAAACCAGGAGGCAGAAAATTCACAATCCATCCGCGGAAGCTTCACCCGCTTCCTGTTTGGAGGAGAAGCAGAGGGAGGCTGGGGAAAGCCCACCACTCACTTAGCAACTACCAGTGAGATTCAGTGCAGGACCAAAAATAGACGCCTTCCCAGGGAAGTATCGTGTTTCACAGCGCCAAGCCAAAAAGGAAAGAAAAAAAAAATTAACATAGGGAAGCCATTTAAAGCAGGAAAAATATTTGTATGTAGAAGGAAATATTTTAGGCAGGAGTTGAACGCCAAGTGATTTTGGGTCTCTGTAGGGAGTAATGAGGCATAGACACACAATGCTGTATGCATGTGATATTATCCGCGCCCGCCTCGGAAAGCTCTTAAATCACGCAGATGCAGTTAGGGACCATTGTACAAAATAAACATCCCACTTGGTGTCCCGCCTGCCCCTAAGTTCCCTGATCTAGAGAGGCACTGGCAGATTTTTACAGCCCTGTAAATTAACGTGGTGCTGATTTGATTGAGCTAAATTAATAAGACTTGTGCTTTGTTGCAAAATAACTATTACAGTATGTTGTGGGGATGCGCTGCCGATAAGGAAATTGCTGCCTTTAACAATCCCACTGAAGTTTCATGGAGGATTTCAAAACCGATTTTAATTAAAACAAAAGCCGATGTGTGGTAATAATGTGGATGTTAAGGAGAGAAAATGTGAAATGCCTTTTTAAATCCATTTTAATATGTCTTAAGGACTGGATGATGGATGGGCTAAGAGCCTGCGCCTGACATTGAGCTGGGAGGCTGCCTGGGTGACTGGCTCCAGTGGCTTCAGCACCCAGCACACCCGCAGGGCCTGTGCCATGGCTCAGCTTCTGGTCGAAGGGTGGTCTCCTGAGGTGGAGCTGCAGGGAGCCCTTTACATAGTCCTGATGACCTCGGCACCTGATTCGCCTGGCGTCATGGAGCTGAGCCACAGGCCAATGGGGCCACAGTCCTCTGGAGGCCCTATCTAGAGACCAGGCTTTCCAAAACTCTAATACTCTAATCTCTCTCTCTCTCTCTCTCTCTCTCTCTCTCTCTCTCTCTCTCTCTCTCTCTCTCTCTGGTTTTTGTTTTTCAAGACAGGGTTTCTCTGTGTAACATTCCTGGCTGTCCTGGAATTTGATTTGTAGACCAGGCTAGCCTCGAACTCACTGAGATCCTCCTCCTGCCTCTGCTTCCCAAGTGCTGAGATTAAAGGTGTGCACCACCAGCAGCAGCCGGCTCCAAAACTCTCTTAAGTCCTATCACTGGGACCTCAGAGACACAGGATTTGAAATAAGAAGCCAATGGCACACGGAAGCAGGGGAAAGGCTCTGTCCTGAAGCAGAGGGGTCAGTGTAGAAAGCCTGACATGAACAAGCAGAGACCTAGCTCCACGGTGAAGATCGCTCAGGGACTCAATGTCAAAGCCGCTGTGTGTCCCGAGTGAGAAGAGGCCCGTTTATGAGACCGGCTCTAAGTCTCAAGGCCCTGTGATCTCAGTGTCCTCAGCTGTAAAATAAAAACAGTGATAGAATTTATCTCACTCAGCTGGCGTGAGGACTAAACAAGGTTAGTGTCTGGCGTACACAAGCCTAGAGTTGGTAGTCACCGATCTAAAAGGAGCAATTGTGGTATACCTCGCCTTCCACTTTATCTCTGCCTGTGTGCATGTGTCAGTGTGAGTGTGCAGATGCGTGTGCAGTGCCCGGGGAGGTCCGGAGACAGCAGCGGGTCTTTGGAAACGGAGTTGCAGGTGTTTGTGAGGTATCCCGTGTGGGTGCTGAGATCCAAAGGTCAGTCCTCATGAAGGAGCAGCAAACGCTCTCAGCAGAGCCCTCTCTTCAGCCCCCAGCTTTTCATGTTTTAAGTTGGAGGCAATTTGCCCTCACCTGATGGTATGGTTTGGGTCTGGAATAGTTCCCCAAAATTGTGAGTAGGATGCTTGGTGGTGGTAGTTAATCTCCATTGTCAGTACACACACACACACACACACACACACACACACACACACACACACCTTATAATTAAGGGAGAAATTTCATCAATGACAGCTTATATTACCCTTATACTATCTTTACATTTTTATTTTATTTAATTTATTTTATTTTTTTGAGACAGAGTTTCTCAGTGTAGTTTTGGTGCCTTTCCTGGATCTTGCTGTATAAACCAGGCTGGCCTTGAACTCACAAAGATCCGCCTGCCTCTGCTTCCCGAGTGCTGGGATTAAAGGCATGAGCCACCACCACCCAGCTATACTATCTTTATTTTATTGTTTCCTTTAAAGCAATTGAATTGTAGCTGGGCAGTGGTGGTGCATGTCCTTAATCCCAGCACTCAGCTGGAATTAATAGGTGCTTGTGAACTGCCCAGTGTGGACGCTGGGACTGAATCTGCATCCTCTGCAACAGCAGCAAGTGTTCTTACCCCCGAGCTATCTCTCCAGCCCCACCTCCTAGCTTTCATCATCTACTTAACTCCTTCCTCATTACCTTACATTCCTATTTTTAATTTTAATTTTTAAAATGTTTTTAATTTTAATTTTTAATTTTAATTTTTATCATTTTTACAGTTTATTTTTTATTTGTTTTTGAGACAGAATCTCACTATGTAACTCTGGCTGGCCTGGAACTTGCAATATAGATCAAAGAGATCCACCTGCCTCTACCTCTCAAGTGCTGGGATTACAGGCATGCACCATGCCTGGCCATTTCTGCATTTTAACTGGCAGTAATTCTTTGAGCTGCTTTAAAATGAACCCTCTCACATATTAAATCATCAATTTATCTTTTCATTTAATAAGTTCTAGCATTTTAATTTTTTTAGGTTCAACTGATTTTTTTCACAACTATTTTCTACTCTGAAATTTTGCATGCCTTTAATCCCAGCACTTGGGAAGCAGAGGCAGGCCTCTGTGAGTTTGAGGCCAGCCTGGTCTACAGAGCGATATCCAGAAAAGGCACCAAAACTATACAGAGAAACCCTGTCTCGAAAAACAAAAACAAACAAACAAAAAAAATTCTGTCTTGAAAATTATTTTTTACCTTACATGCTCTGTCTCTGTCTCTGTCTCTGTCTCTGTCTCTGTCTCTGTCTCTCTCTCTCTCTCTCTCTCTCTCTGATAGGGATTGAGGTCCTTACACAGGCTAGTTAGTTAGGCACTATAACACTAAGACACATTTCAAGACTTGTTTTGACTTTTTATTTTGAGACAGGGTCTCACTAAGTTGCCCAGGCTGATCTTGAACTCATTCTATTGTTCAGACAGTCTTGAATCTGTGACCCTACAGATGCCAGTTCCCGAGCAGCTGGGATTGCGAGCCTGTGCCATCACACTCAACCTTTATTTCCATGCTTAATTTTGATCCTTTATATTGATATCATCTGCTGTGTTCCCAAGACTCCTCTGTCCCTGATGCAGGCTGCACATGGACTATGCAGCAAAAACTCACCTCCACTTTGCTGAGATCTGTAAAACTAGGGAGAAGCAGACTTTAGCCATGCCCCAAGGATCCCACAGTCCTAGGGAGAGACCCATCCTTCTCTATAGCCTCTGAGACAAGAGAAAAGATACGGGATGTCTTGATGGCTGGGAAGTGGTAGTGTTATGGGAATTTCAGGGTACCAAGAATCCAAGGTCATGTACACAGCACAAGAAATCCAGCTGAAGCTGGAGATCTGAGGCCAGGCAAGCTGATCTCTGAGTAGAGTAGGGAATGGAGCTGAGATGGAGAACAGTGAACCAAGAGATTATTGTAGTAAGGGACAAAATAAGGAAAGTCAGACTATCCTTCCTGGAGAACATGGGCCTCAAATTCACAGAGATCCACCTGCTGCTGCCTTCTGAACATTCTGACCTAAGGCGTGAGGTGCCATGCACAGAAAAGGGGCTTTGTTTGTTGCTGTGGGCCACAGGAATATCATAAGAACTCAGCTGGTTATGGCAAAGTCACTACCTGGAGGAATCAGGGAATTCCTCCAAAGGAAGCCAAATCCCAAGGAGTTTTTGGTGTAACTTGGCTTGTTATATATCAGTTGTCTTCTGTTATGAAAATCATGTGTGCCTTCATAGCTTTCCCAATCGACTTTTCCCTAAGAAGGGCTAACAGTGTGGACTGATCACTCTCTGGACATACACATTCCAGGTATTTGGAGAACTGCCTTAGGAAAGGCTTTCTCTGGAATCAGATTCTCCCTTGGCCACTTTCAAGGACTAGCAGTAATAACAGTCCACATGCAAGTCTCCTGATTTAAGATAAATTCCATAAGGAGACACCACCTAGGTCAGGTGGACGTTAAGTAATAGCTTTACACAATTCAGCTCGGATCCTCCTTTCTTACAGCCTTACTAACTTTATAGACCGCTAACTCCTTACCTAACCACTTCTAGGAATATTTAGATAACCTTCTGCGCTGACAGCTATGCTCAGCCAGAACTCCCAGTTCAAGCCTCCCTGTAATTATCATCATTGGCAGCATCCGGCCAGGTCCATCCCCAGATGGAGGAAAGTACCTTATCAGAGATAACTCCATACTTTCTAAGAATAGACTTAAGCATCCAGCCTACCTGTTTGAGAAGGCTTGGCGGATGTGCCAATTAAGCCTTACTTCCTCCTTTCCCAAACCTTACCTCCAGTTCCAGAGGCATCTAGCTGTACACAGGTTGCCTAGCGACTGAGCACACTTTCCCCCACCCTGCAGAAAAATGGCAGATAGCTTGAACAGATAGGAGCCACAGGAAAAAAAGAAGACAGTTTTATTTTCTCCCATTGACCTAGCAACTTATAGATTCTTAATACTTTCTAAGATTATAGTTGAGCACTTAAGAGCCCTCTTCTTAGATATTACCTGAATTTAGCCTTTAGTTAATCCATTTTCCCATTGGTCACTTCCCTTTGGGGTTGCAAATGGTAATTAATGGTTATTGCCTCCCTATGTGATTCTTATCACCCCTCCATTTGACCCTGGAAGCCTGGTTTTGCACTGCTAAGGGAATATTGCTTGTAAGTGTATGTATACTAGGACTCCCAGGGCACGAGAGGACAGAGAAGAGAAAAGAGAATGGAAGAACTAGATGGGTAAGAACTTGAGAGGAATGAACTGAGATGGGAAGAACTAGATTGAAGGGCTAGAAGAGAGGACAAGAGGAATGAGATGGAAGATGAGGAAGAGCCAGATGGGGAAGAACAAGATGAGGAAGAGCCAGATGAGAGAGAAGGAGACGGGAGAGGAGCTGATAGGGGAAAGAACTAGATAAATGTGAACCTAGAAGGGACAGAACTAGATGAAGGAATTAAGATAGAACCTAGAGGGGACAGTAGACAAATATAGAGAAATCAGGCAAGGAAGGAGCTAGGCATGAGAGCAGAATAGAAGCTGTGTAGAGAGAGAACTATCACAGAATAATAATAAAGTGTATGAAATAAGGAGTTTCGTGTACATAGATTCATTTCTTTTCATCAAAGATTAATTATCAGCTGGTTGTAGATTCTTCCCGGACCCTGGGAGGGGACTAATGAGAGGCTGGACCCCCATAGTCTTCTATAGTTTGTTTGTTTTTTGACAGCAAAACAGTATATTCTAAAAAGAAGAATATATTTAGAAATGGAGAGAAAAAAGATCATTGGAAGAAAACTCACAGTTTATGTGCGAAATAGCAGATTAGGTACAGCTGAAGAGAGAATCCATGAATTGGATGACTGTTGCAAAGGAAGAAGAAGAGATGTTGACTATGGAAGAAAAGTTAAGGAGTCTGGGAGGGAAAATGAAAAGTCCCATATACATCAAGTTAGAATTCCTGAAGGAGAAGAGTGAGGTGGGGCCAGAGGTGGGGTCATCATTTAGTAAGTGATAGCTCACAGTGTCTAAAACCGAAAAGAGACATAGAACCAGTTTTAAGATAAGGTCCAAGAGTGTCACATCGGTTAAATAAATGAAATATATTTGTGGGTTCATCAGAGTGAAACTGGACAAAGCTAAAGTCAAAAGATTTTCAAAATTGCCAGAGAGAGAGAGAGAGAGAGAGAGAGAGAGAGAGAGATCCCAGATGACAGTGTATTCAGAAGAAAACAAGGCTAGGTTAGCAGCTGGTTTACACAGGAGTAAGTGGGTGTCAGAAGATAATCAGAGAGGGTCTGAGAGATGGCTGGGTGGTTAAGGTCCCCTGTAACTCTAGCTCTAAGGGATCTGACGCCCTCTTCTGGCCTCTGAGGGTACAGAAACACACACACACACACACACACACACACACACACACACACACACACGATTTCAAACTGTTTGGAAGAGTAATGTTCTGTTGTTTTTTATATTGAGTCATATTATGTAGCCCAGGCTGACCTCAAAGTCACGATTCTTCTACCTTAGTGTTCGGCACAGGGATTGCAGGTGTATGCCACTACATCAAGTCTGGAAAAAAAAAAAAAACCAGCAATTTTGAAGAGTAAAAAATATTGTATTATTTATTTTATTTTTATTTATAGGCCTTTATGCACAATTATTACTAGTCTGTTCTTGATTAAATGAGTGGATATGGAAATGCAGAAATGAAGGACTGACTATGTTTGCATGGTTTATCTCATAGTTGAAAAAAAGCCAACCAGGATGTTCCAGAACCTGTTCCATAATATGGAGTTCTGCAAGTCTTTGGTACACCTTCCTTCAGTGGGTAACTGTAGCTCCTCTCCCTGAGTGGGGACCACTGCTCCAGCCTCTTGTCGGCCATAATCAGAATGAAGCAGAAGTGATGATGGGTGACCTTGGAGACTGGGCTGTAGAAGGTACGGCATCTCCCTCTTTATTTTCATTTTGGGCCTCTTGTTCTGGGGGAGCCCCTCTTTGCACACTCAGGCTGGGAACACTGCCCCAGCATAAAGGATGCCCACCTACGCAGAGGAGAAACCACCGCCATGTCCCCTTTTAGTACACAGAATTCTCACGGGAGCCTGAGGTGGGTGCTCAGCAGTGACCAAAGCAGCCATCGCCTCACCTGGGTGCCTGGCTTCCCAGCCCTCATGTTTGAAATCACTCCACCAGAAGCACTGGCCTAGAGAGGCTTCCCTCTGCAGGGATTAGCAGTTAATGCAGATGATTACTGTCAGAGTTCTGAGAAAAGGTGTCTATTGAGTGCTCAGTCCTAAATGGGACATCTATACCTCCTTCCCCACCCCTCAGGGTGACACTGAGGAGGAGAGGCAGAAGGAACATAAGAGCCAGAAGATGGGGAGGATGCTGTGAAATGCTAATTTGGGGACATGGCACAGACATTGCACCCATGACCTCACTACAGCACAGGATCAAATCCATGAAATCAGTCAACATTCCAACCAGCAGCAGTAATTGGACACAGTGGCTTAGCAATTAAAAAAGGAGAGGACAGGAAGTGGGTATGGGGATATGTTGGGGTTCCCGGTGGGGAGCAGAAGCGGGGAGATGGAGATGAATATGATCAAGACACATTGATGACATGTATGAAATTGTCAAAGAATAAATAAAAACTATTTAAGGAAGGGCTAGTGAGATGGTGTGGTGGTCTGAATGAGAACGGTCCCCATAGGCTCATATATTTGCCTTCCTGGTCCCCAGTTAAATAACTGTTTTGAAGGATTAGGAGGAAGTGTGTCAGTGGGGGTGAGCTGTGAGCTTTCCAAAGCCCACACCAGGCGCTCTCTCTCTCTCTCTCTCTCTCTCTCTCTCTCTCTCTCTCTCTCTCTCTCTCTCTCTCTCACATCTGTCTGTCTGTCTCTCTCATATCTTTCTCTCTGTCTGTCTGTCTGTCTCTCTCATATCTTTCTTTCTTTCTTTCTTTCTTTCTCTCTGTCTGTCTGTCTGTCTCTCTCATATCTTTCTGTCTGTCTGTCTCTCTCTCCTCTCTCTCTCCTCTCTCTCTCTCTCTCTCTCTCTCTCTCTCTCTCTCTCTCTCATCTCTCTGTCTGTCTCTCTCTCTCATATCTTTCTGTCTGTCTGTCTGTCTCTCTCTCTCACACCTTTCTCTCTGTCTGTCTGTCTCTCCTCTCTCTCTCTCTCTCTCTCTCTCTCTCTCATCTCTCTTTCTGTCTGTCTCTCTCTCTACTCATTTTGCCTGCTGCCTGTGAATCAGGAAATAAAGCTCTCAGCTCTAGAGCCTTGTCTGCCTGCATGCCTCCATGCTCCCCACCATGATAATAATGGACTAAATAATGGACTTCTGAAACTGTAAGCAAGCCCCCAGTTAAATGATTTCTTTTATGAGAGTGGCCTTGGTCATGGTGTCTCTTTATAGCAACAGAACAGTGACTGAGACAAGTGGGTACCAGGAGTAGGGTATTGCCGTGACAGACTTGACCATGTTGCTTGTTGGAGGAATGTGGATTTTGGAACTTTGGACTAGCGGTTGAATACTCAAGTGGGGTTTACCGGGCCATCCTAGTAGGAGCCTATGTGATGGCTAGAGTTACATTTTAAGTTTAAATTACTGTGCTTAAGAGATCTATGAAACAAAACCTCTAACCTGTAAGCCTGACTTGCCTAAAGACAGATAACTTCCTGGAATTCTGGGGTGGTTTTTCATGTAAGATAACAAGCCACATGTTTTTGCTTCTATAAACAATCTTGATTGCCCCAACTACACAGGATATGCTTGATCACACATAGGCCAGGGATACATAGGCAGGAAATATGTCAGGGTATATGGTTGGCCCTGATTGGACAAAGGCAGGAAGTATGTAACCTTGTGAGTTTTGCCGTTATAAGCCCTTGAGTAATATATTTCAGCACCATATTCTGGGAATGCCTGATGTGGACCTAGACAGTGTCCATCATCCTGGCCAGTATTTAAAAAAGCTTCCTTCAAATTTGGCTGGAAAATTGCTGTGGTGGTCTTATTCTCTTCTGGTGCGATTAGCACATGGACAGTGATGCTGAGCGTGACAGGACAGTGGGGACACAGCTGTCAGTAACCTGTCAGTAAGTGTCAGAGTGGGAAATATTAGTAAGTGGCCTAGAGACCATTCTTGTGATATTTTGGCAAAAAAATATGGCTGCTTTTTGCCCTTGTCATAAAAATCTCTCTGAGGCTAAATTGAAGAGTTTTGGGTTGAGCATTGGTGGAGGAGATTTCTAGACTGCCTAGTATTGACCATGTCCTGTGGTTATTAGTGACCACTATTATGTAGGTCTACAATGAAAAGGAACAAGTTGAGCAAGGAAAAATGCAAAATGTACAGTTTGAGAAGAAAAGGAGCACCCAGAAGGGTAATGGATGTAAGTCCAGTGCTCAAGTAGATACAAAGTTTAAAGAAAAGCCGGATGCTAAACGGAGTAAAGGGAGTGGTGACCGCAGGGCAAGACCCCACCCACCTACGCTTCCGATCTGTGAAAAGGAACTAAAGGAAGGCTTAAGTATCACAGGAAATCACCAACAATCGAAAGTTTGTGCAAACGTAATCCAAGGAGGAGGCCAGGTTCCAGCCCCAGCAAGCAGAAGAACTTGTCAGCTTCAGCCACGCGATTCTGATTTTAGAGTCAAGAATACAAGACAGGGTTTGTGGAATCTCCCTCCACACCTAAGGAAAGTTGCTGAGGCCAGGCAGACAGAAGGAGAGCTCTGCATAAAGGAGAGGCTTCACTGTGTGAAACTGGAAAGGTGAAACCTGGGTTGTGTTGGATACCCCAAGATACTGGAGATGCCAGGGCTATGGGATACAGTGAGAGCTAAAGTTACGTTTTAAGTTTTAATTATATGACTAAAAGACCCATGAAACAAAAATGCCTCTAACCTGTAAGTCCCTTGCCCAAGGACAGATAGTTCCTGAAATGCTGGAGACTATTATTTGTGGGAGATAACAAGCCACATGTTTTCACTTGCCTAAACAGTTTGTTTAATGCAACTATACTGGATATGCTTGATCACGTCAGTGGGAGGTTTAAAAGGCAGGAAACACGTCAGGCTATGCTTGTCCCTGATTGGGCCTGATGGGAAATGCAGTGAATTTTTGCCCTATTTAAGCCCTGCAAACCATGACTCAGGGTCATTTCCCGGGAACCCAGACATGGACCTGGCCAGAGGCCATCCTCCTGGCCAGCATTTAACTAAAGCTGGCTTCCAGTTTGCCTTTAAACTGTGGTAGTGGTTTTATTCTCAACCAGTGGGGTTAACAGTACCTGCCAAGGGGAGCTGCTGATAGGGAGTGGAACCAGCTCAAGAAAGAGAAGCGTGCTGCAGTCAACAAAGCTGGGAAGAGTTGTTCTGAAGAGCGCTTCAACATCAGACGTGGAGATGCTGAATTTGGAGTTTGCCCAGCTGGTGTTTCTTGCTTTGGTTCAGTATTTCCTTCCTAGGCTCCCTTCCCTACAACGTATATTCTGTGCCATACTATTCTGGAAGTATGCAATCTGCTTTTGTGTGTGTGTGATCTGATTTTTTATTTTAATTTTATAGGGGGTTACAGTTGCTTGAATCTCAGAAGAGACTTTGAACTTTTAAACATTGTTGAGACTGTGATAGACTACCCGGACTTTTGAAGTTGGACTGAATGCATTTTGCATTATGATACGGCTACAAGCCTGTGGGGGCCAGGGAGTGAAATGTGGTGGTTGGAATGAGAATGGCCCCATAGGCTCGTGTATTTGTGTGAATGGTCCCTAGTTGAAGAACTTTTGGAGGTATTAGGAGGTGTGGCCATGTTGGAGAAAGTGTGTCACTGAGAATGGGCTTTGAGGTTTCAAAATTCCACTCCAGGTCCAGCCCCCACTCCTCTGCCTGCAGCCAGTGGATCAGGAAGTAAAGCACTCAGCTCCAAGGCCTATATGAGTGCCACCATGCTCCCCGCCATGATGATCATGGACTCACCTTCTGAAACTGTAAGCCAGCCCCAATTAAATGCTTTCTTTTGTAAGTGTTGCCTTGATCGTGGTGTCTCTCCACAGCAACAGACCAGTGACTGTCTTAGTTAGGGTCTCTTGCTGTAATGAAGCACCATGATGAAGCAATGGGGGAAGAGAGGCTCTTTTTCACTCATAGTTCCAAGTAGCAGTTTGTCTTAGTTAGGGTTTCTGTTGCTACAAAGAAATACCCTGACCACTGCAGCTCTTATAAAGGAAAGCATTTAATTGCGGGCTTTCTCATACTTTCAGAGGTTTGGTCCATTATTATCATGGCAAGAAGCATGGTGGTATGCAGGCAGACATGGTGTGGGGAGTAGCTGAGAGTTCTACATTCAGATCCACAGGCAACAGGAAGAGAAAGACACTGGGCCAGGCTTGAGATTCGGAAACCTCAAAGCCTACCCCCAGTGACACACTTCCTCCAACAAGGTCACACCTACTCTAACAATGCCACATGTCCTAATACTTTCAAATAATGTCTCTCCCTATGAGGCCAAGGGGGGCATTTTCATTTAAACCACCATACAGTTCTGCTGTTGTTTGTTTTTGCTCTTTTGGGGGCCCACCACCCAGCTCCCAAATAAACCACGCAAGGAGGCTTATTCTTAATTATAAACCTCTGGCCTTAGCTTGGCTTGTTGCTAGCCAACTTTACTTAACTTTAATTATCCCATCTAGATTTTGCCTTTGGGGTTTTACCTTTCTCTATTTCTGTATACCTTTCATTATTTCTTACTCCGTGGCTTGCTGTGTAGCTAGCTGGTGGCTGACCCTTGATAATCCTCTTTCTTCTCTGGTTACTCCCTCTTCCTCCCAGATTTCTCCTTCTATTTATTCTCTCTGCCTGCCAGCCCCACCTATCCTTTCTCCTGCCTTGCTATTGGCCATTCAGTTCTTTATTAGACCATCAGGTGTT